AAAAAAAAAGGTAAATTTCAAGTGAACACTGTCACTAGAATCGTTTGTCCTTTTGTGATGAGGTTTCAACAAGTTATCCAGGACTCAGCAAGGATGGCAGAGACATGCAGTGGCACCAGACTTTTTTTTTTTTTTTCATCATGGAGCTTAAACTCTGGGCCTGGCGCTGTCCCTCAGTTCTGCAGTTCAAGGCTAGCGCTTTACCACTTGAGCCACAGCATCACTTTCAGTTTTGGTGGTTTACTGGAGATAAGTTTCTCACGGATTTTCCTGCCCAGGCTGGCTTTGAACTGCGATCCTCCAATCTCAGCCTCCTGAGTAGCTAGGACTACAGGCTTGAGCCATCAGCACACGGATTTTAGCACCAGACATTTCTAAAAGCACACTCTATTCATTTCCTGAGTACTAAACCATCAAAACTATGCTTGTAACTTTATCTACTTGTCCTTGTTTCTGCTATAGTTTTGCTAAATATTGTGAAGATTCTGAGTTATTAGGTACATAGATGTATTTTCTTCCAGATAAGTTACCTGTTCCACAATGGCGTGCTCTTTTAACACTCTTATCTAAGATCTACATTATCTCATATTAATATAGCCATTATGATACTATGATGAGAATTTGCAGGGTGTATCTTTCCCCATCTGTTTACTTGTAGCTATTCATGTATCTAAATTTAGTTTGTGTATCAAATTTAGTTTGGCCTCAAGTTCTCAATTTCCCTAACTCAGCCACAAGTGCTGAATCATGTCTGTTTTTATAATTGCTTGTTCATTTTTATAATTGCTTATTCATTTTTACAACCACTGCTTAAAAAAAAATTGTTCTTGTAAAGGGGTTACAGTTGTATGTCAGGTAATGAGTACATTTTTTTTTTTTGGGGTCCGGTCATGGGGCCTGAACTCTTGGCCTGGTGCTGTCCCTCAGCATTTCAGCTCAAGGCTAGCACTCTACCACTTGAGCCACAAAGCCACTTCCAGCTTTTTTTTCTTCTTCTGCTTATGTGGTGCTGAGGAATCGAACCCAGGGCCTTAAGCATGTAAGGCGAGCGCTCTACCACTGAGCCAACTTCCCAGCCCCATGAGTACATTTCTTTTTGAACAGTGTCACTCCTTCCCTGGTTTTCTCCCCATTTTCCCTCCTGACTCTCTCCCCAACAAGTTACATAGTTTATTTTCAAGTGTCTATAGTGAGTACCACTGCTGCATTTGTTCACCCATTGTCCCTCCATTTGTGACCCCCTACCATCCCAAAGATAAATGAACAAGACAAAAACAAAGAAAATATATTTCCACTTCTCGGTGTTCATTTTGATAACATTTTATATTATCAATCTCTGCTTTTAACTCAAGTGTTTTGTGTGCTTACACTTAATTTTATTTGTATAGTTTGCTTTAGTACTTATTGGCTCACTAATCTTAAAGGAGAAGTATTTTTTTGTTTGCATGTTTTCTACTTTACTGGCTTTTTGTTATTCCTTCTCTGTCCTCTTTGCTTAATCAAGTATTTGTCAGTGTTAACTTTGATTACTCAGGGTATATCCACTTTTTTCTGTACTGGTTGCTCTAGTGGTTATGTCAAAACTTATTACTGGGCTGGGGAGGTGGCTCAATGGTAGAGTGCTTGCCTCATATTCATGAGGCCCTGGGCCCAATTCCTCAGCACCACATAGCAGAAAAAGCCAGAAGTGGCACTGTCGTTCAAGTGGTAGAGCTAGCCTTGAGCTGAAGAGCTGAGGGACAGTGCTCAGTCCCAGAGTTCAGGCCCCATGACCGACCAAAAACCAACAACTTATTACTATCCTATTTTACACTAATCAATGCTTCTTTTTAACAATATAGCTGCATTTATCCATACTCTCTGAAATAAAGTGTTGGTTTTTTTTGCCAGTCATGGGGCCTGAGCTCTGGGCCTGGGCGCTGTCCCTCAGCTCTTCAGCTCAAGGCTAGCACTCTACCACTTGAGCCACAGTGCCACTTCTGGCTTTTTCTGCTTATGTCGTGCTGAGGAATCGAACCCAGGGCCTCATGCATGCAAGGCAACCACTTTACCACTGAGCCGCAACCACTTTACCACTGAGCCACCTTCCCAGCCCTGAAATAAAGTTTTGATAGCAGACAAGTTATTGTATATTACTTATGTATTACTATATAATATACAAGTAAGTTTGTCTTTTTGTTCCTTAAGTTAGTACAAGGTATTTTGAGTAGTCTAATTTCAGAGTTTAGACAGGGAAATAGATATGTGACCAAAACACCTATAGTTTAATCAAATTCTTTGTTTAAAGAATTAAGAAGCTATGTGCACACCCGAGGACACAGAACTAGAGGAAATAAAGGAAAAACATACAACAGTGGGACCCATAGCTGCACCAGACATTGATTAAAACGAACCAAGCAACTCAATGGCAGCGATGGGAGGATGAGTGGGAAAGAGGGAACAGCTAACAGAATGCAAAAGGAATGTACACATCACCCCACGTGGAAGAAATAACTGTATTGTCAAAGCCCATAGAACTCATCAACTTTATAGACCAGGATAGACAATTTGCCCCATGAAAGTTAGAATATGTGTTTGTGACTTTAACTAAGCATCACGATCCCACATTACTGTGAAATTATGTAATCATTTAATCACAAGAATTTGCAAAAAAAAAAAAAATTAAGAAGGGCTGAGAATGTGACATAGTGGTAGAATGCTTGCCTAGCATGAATGAAACCGTAGGTTCAATTCCTCAGTACCACATAAAGAGAAAAAGGCAGAAGTGGCACTGTGGCTTAAGTGGTAGAGAGCTAGCCTTGAGCAAAAGAAGCTCAGGGACAATGCCTAGGTGCTGAGTTCAAGTCCCAGGACTGGCAAAAAATTAGTAATTGGCTGGAGCTATGGCTCAAGTGGTAAAGCACCTGTTAACAAGTACAACACTATGAACTCAAACCCCAGTACCATCAAAAAATGTAAAATTAGTAAAGAAAAATTAAGATTTAAGTTGTTCACCTACTCAGCCAACATCAGAAGATCCTTAACAGTGAGTTGTGCAAACCTCTTTGGATTTTTTTTTTTTTTGTCGGTCGTGGAACCTGAACTCTGGGCCTGGGCGCTGTCCCTCAACTCTTCAGCTCAAGGTTAGCACTCTACCACTTGAGCCACAGCACCACTTCTGGCTTTTTCTGCTTATGTGGTACTGAGGAAATCGAACCCAGGCCTCATGCATGTAAGGCCAGCACTCTACCGTGTCTGCAAAGCCAGGGATGGTGGCTTATGACTGTAATCCAAGCTACTCAGAAGGCTGAAATCTAAAGCCAGCCCAGGCCCAGGACTGGCAAAAAAAAAAAAAAAAAAAAAAAAAAAAAAAGCCAGCCTGGGCACTGTCCCTGAGCTCTTCAGCTCAATGTGAGCACTCTACCATCTGAGCCACAGTGCCACTTCCGGTTTTCTGGTGGTTTATTGGAGATAAGAGTCTCATGGACTTTTCCTGCCCAGGCTGGCTTTGAACCAGGATCCTCCTCAGATCTCAGCCTCCTGAGTAGCTACGATTACAGGTATGAGCCATAGACACCCAGCTAAGTCTGAGACTTTTTTTTTTTCTGCTTATGTGGTGCTGAGGAATCGAACCCAGGGCCTCAGGCATGCAAGCCAAGCGCTCTACCACTGAGCCACCTTCCCAGCCCTGTCTGAGACTTTTATCCTCACTAAACTACCAAAAAAATCTGGAAGTGGAGCTATGGCTCAAGTGGTAGAGTGCTAGCCTTGAGCTGAAGAGTTGAGGGACAGTGCCCAGGCCGAGTTCAAGCTCCAAGACCAGCAGAAAAAAAAAATCTGCAGGACATGTCTCATTTTAATGCACCGAAGTTTGTTAAATTTCCCCATTTTGTCAGTCATTACAAAAGATCAACAAGACCAATGTGGTAAATCTGGTTTTAACTCTGACTCACTGGTCTCAGCAATGGAGGTATCGCTGGTGTTTTTGTTTTTGTCAGTGGTGGGGCTGAACTCTGGGCTAGGGCGCTGTCCCTCAGCTCTTCAGCTCAAGGCTAGCGCCCTACCACTTAAGCCACAGTGCCACTTCTGGTTTTTTTTCTGCTTTATATGGTGCTAAGGAATCGAACCCAGGGCCTCACACATGCGAGGCAAGCACTCTACCACTGAGCCACCTTCCCAGCCCCAGTCACTGGTGTTCTTAACCATCATAGTATTCCACTCTTAACATCTTCGCTAGAACATTTACCAGATTCTCATTAAAATCTGGAACATTGTACTAGTGCTCCATATATAATTAATCTTTGTGACCATGAGGTAGGTACTACCCTATTTTTGTTAAGGAAACAGAGTGAGTTAATTTCAAGAATTTTCTTTAAAAACTCACGTGACTTGAGTCTTTGTGTATCTACAAATCCATTCCCCCCCCCCCCCCCACTCCCTCCTTCTTTTTAAATTTAGTGCCAGTCCTGGGCCTTTAACTGAGGACCTGGGTACTGTTCCTGAAATTTTGCTCAAGACTAGCACTCTATCTTTTAGCACTCTACCATTTTAGCCATTGGATGTAAGAGCTCATGAACCTTCCTGCCTAGGCTGGCTTTGAACCACAATCCTTAGATCTCAGCTGACACGTGTCAGCCACCAGGGTCCAGCTCACAAACTCATCCTTAAACCACTGATTCCCAGAGTCTTCTTCATGTATTTTGGTAACGTGAATGGGAACTTCCTGAGGAGATCTTTAGGCCTAGTTTTGTGGCTAAAAGCAGCAAATGGAAGTTTTGCAAGGACCTAACTATACAACCGAAAAACCACCACCCCTACCAGCCAAAGTTACTGTGTTTACAGTCTATTAAATATGTATTTAGAAGTAGATAAAATATTTGGCTAAAATGGGTTATATGTTTGAATGTTGGAAGTGGAAATTCACACCAGTGACACCATGCTTGCCACTCAAGTTGGTCATGTTGAATTCCTATGACTTTTTCCTCCAAAACAGCTCAATAGACTATGTTAAAGACAACATGTGTATTGAAAGTAGCAATTTTATTTGAGTTAAAATTATTTACAAAAACCCAAAGACATACTTCATGAAACTGGTACAAACTATTTTTTTCCTGCCGTTGGCTTTTGCTCCAAAGATCACAGCTGAGAAATACTGTATAAAATAAAAATAGGATTGGATTCAGAAAAGTACTCTACCATTCTAATTTCCAATTGGTAGTTATTTACAGAAATATTTACAATGGAAAAAAAGGTTACTTTAAAACTTTAGTTAATTTCCAAGTCAGCCTCAAGTACCCTAAAATCAGAGTTCACTGAGGGTTAAAAACACACAAATGCACCGCAGCTGGTGAGGTGGTATTTCCTCCACCCCTCCCCACCAAAATCTGCATCTCTTATCAGTGCTTGACAATTATTATTATTTAAAAAGCAAAACAAAAACCTGTTAAACACTGAGGTAAATCAATTCTCAAATGATTACCAGTGCAACAGAAAAATGTAGTTCACCCTGATTGATCTTATCCAAATATTTAATATTCCTTACCATCTGACATACGTCAGTTTTACCAAAAATCTGTTCATTTCTCTAAATCCCATGATTAATAAATACAAATATATTTTAACATAATTAAACAAAATATACCTAAACTAATTTATGGATATCATTTATCAACATGCTTTTAAAACAGTTTGCCAAATTAGTTTTCTATTCAGGGCAAATCAATCTCAGTTTTCCCATATTACACTGGCATACTGTGTTCATAAAAAGTGATGGGTAGGGATTTGGGGTGGGTGGAGGAGGAAGAAAACAATTTGCCTGCAATCAGTTACTTCCGTATAGATTTCCCAACAATCTGCATTATCAAAAATAGGAAGACAATAAAAGGCAGCCACTGCATTAAAAAACATTACAGCTGGCACTGATACAAGAGCCCCAGTTTGTAGCTTTATACAAGGAAATAACAAAGTCTAAATGGGTAAAATAGACTTTTAGCTATTTAACCCAATACACACCAAACTCATAATTTTATGGCTTCAAGTTTCACAAATCCAATGAAGAAACATGATGTACTTGACCAGAAAGGTAATTTAAAAAAAGATTTACATGAAACAAATCTCCAGAAGGCCTGTCTTCAGGCCTAACAGACAAAAGTGACAAAGGATTTAAAAAAAAAAAAAAAAAAAAAAAAAAAGGCAGAGCCAGTGGTCTGAACACAATAAAAAGCTGTGATGTTAAGAAATTAAATCTACAAAATATGTTCTGTGTGTTCCACAGCCATTTTCCCAAACAATTGTTCTATGAACAAAGAATCTCAATGAAAAACGGGTCTTCTCTACACCAGCAATTTTAAGGCTTTGCGCTTATGCAATTGATCCTGTCACTCTATAGAAGAATAAACATGCTATCTGGAAACATGAATTCCACATTGGTGTTTTAGCTTCCTTATATTTATTGTACTGAACATCAGAAAATATATCTAGAGATCCTCCTTCAAAACTTAACAATGTTTCAAGAGCCTCCCTAGCATTAAGTGTAAACTACCCTGGGTTTGTCTGCTTTGCTGAATCCTTTATCAGGGCACATCGTCTTTATAATATAATATTCCTTCACACTGCTATTTTGTTTTCTTGCGTCTATAGCTATGACACATTATGGCATGATATTGAATATGGTGTCATGATCTCAAAAGTGAAAAATAGTTCAACATCCAAACCCAATCAAGAATAAAAAAATATACTATTAATCCCTTGTGTCTTTGGATTCCATCTAATTTTAAATATAGACAGTAGTTTAGGGAACAACAACAAAAAAAAAATCACAAAATTATTAAAAGCTTTATTTACGATTGTAATCATTCAACAAAAACAAAAACAAAACAAAACAAAAAAGCAAAAGCAAATGAGCCTGAAAAAGGAACTAAGCTGTTGTCTAGAATGTCCTGAGAACATTCGATACCTCAGTAGCTAAGCTGCCTTTGCACCTGGCTGGCATGACAACAGTGGCTCAACATACACAGCAGTTGCACTAACAGCAGCACATATACCCCTGTGACACCTGCCCAGAGTCGAGCAAGAAGGGAAGGGCCTAAACTCTGCCGAGTAAGGGTATTTAAATACTGCACAAGATTGTTAACAGCCTGAACCTTTTCCCTCATTTTTGATAGTTGCAGATTGATGTAGTAACTGTCATTTAGCAAATGCAGAATGCATGAAGAAATCAGGTGGTCTTAAAAATCTAAACACGAATGATACTGATGAATGTTCTTGGTATATCTTCAAGGACTTCTTTCATAATTTCTCTTTGTCTAAGGCTAACTCCATCATTACCGAGCACCTGAAGCAAAGGTAAAGCAGCTAGCAATGTTCCAAATATTCAATCACTCTAGAGATAGACTTCTGGCCTGTGGTTCCAACAGCACACTGAAAAGGGAAGGAAATAATGGTTAATATGTAATGAAAGTTTTCAAGTATTGAATAGTTTATCTCTGAACAAGTTGTTAAATTGAACACTACAAATCAAAGTCCACTGAGACTAAATTGTACATGTGTGTGTAGTGTGTATGTGTGTGTACAGTGTGTGTGTATTAGAGAGACAGAGAGAGAGAGATAGAAAGAGATAGAAAGAGGGGGGGGGGGGGGAGGACTATGTGAGTGTCCTGGGGCTTGAACTCAGGGCCTGGGCTTTTTAACTTAAAACTAATATCTTACCACAGTTCCACTTTCAGCTTTTTTGGAGGTAAGAGAGTCTCATGGACTTTTCTGCCTGGGCTGGCATCAAATCTCAATAATCAGATCTTAGCTCCATAAATTGTACTTTTTTTTTTTTTTTTTTTTGGGGGGGGGGGGGGGAGGGGTCCGGTCATGGGGCCTGAACTCTGGGCCTGGGCAATGTCCCTCAGCTCTTCAGCTCAAGGCCAGCGCTCTACCATTTGAGCCACAGCGCCACTTCCGGCCTTGTTTTTTTTTGCTTATATGGTGCTGAGGAATCGAACCCAGGGCCTCAGGCATGCAAGGCAAGCACTCTACCACTGAGCCACCTTCCCAGCCCCAAGTTGTACTTTTATAATACAGTATTTTGACACAAGAATTATTGTGAAGCAATACCACACAGTTACTAAATTTAAAAGAGAATCCCTGCATATCTCTATTCCCAGCACTTGGGAGGGCTGAGGCAGAATTTCAAAATTTACACTGCATACTGAGACTCCATCTCAAAAAAAAAAAAAAAAAGAAAAAATGGAAAGAGAAGCTAGGAAGGAAAAAATCCTTTTATCTTTTGGCAAGCAAAGTATGGGGTTTGAACTCAGGGCCTAGAACTTGCTAGGTGGTCCTCAAGCCCTTTTTTGCTTTATTTCTATTTTTTTAGGCAGGATTCTCATGGTTGAAGTGTATTTGTGAAGTGTATTTGTAAGGGCATTTCCAGAAAGGGTTAACTAAGTAATAAAGATCCACCATGAGTGTGGCTGGCATGATCCCATAGACTGGAGTCCAGATAAAATGAGAAGAGAAAACGGGGAGAGGCTGCCAGGCACTGGTGGCTCACTAGCTACTCAGGTGGCTAAGATCCGGCGATTGGGATTTCAAACTAGCCAGGGCAGAAAATTCTGCCACACCTCTAGGCCAGCACGGACTAGGAGTGGCTCAAGTAGTAGAGTACCAGCCAGAAGCAAGAAAGCCAAAGGAGAGCTCAAGGACCCTAATTCAAATGCTGGTAGCAGTGCGTGCATGTGTACGCGCACACACACGCAAACTAGCTAGTACATGCATTCCCTTTCTCTTCTAGCCATTTTGATATGAACTGCTAATCTCCATCATGCTCTCAACAGCCTCTGAAATTATGAGTCAAATAAATTTCCTTCTCTTAAATTGCTTACGCAAGATATTTTGTTCACAGCAACAAGAAGTCTAATAGACTGTGGCTGGTATTTTAATTTCTACTGTCAATGTATTAACTGAAATTCAAAACCACATATATGGTAATAAACACTACTTACGGTGAGATTCATGAAGCTTAGGAATTTTTTGAGCATTTCTGTCATTATTGAGAAGTCTCCTTCTGGCAGGTATTCCCGCACAGTGGTTACATTGATCTGAGGAAACAGATCAAAAAGATACCATCAGACACATGAACACAGATACAGAACACATGAAACTGCACATCATTCATAGGAATGTTTATGTCCATTCCCCACCCTACCCATCCTCAGGAAGAGAAAGAAGGAAGGAAGGAAGGAAGGAAGGAAGGAAGGAAGGAAGGAAGGAAGGAAGGAAGGAAGGAAGGAAGGAAGGAAGGAAGGAAGGAAGGAAGGAAGGAAGGAAGGAAGGAAGGAAGGAAAGAAAGAAAGAAAGAAAGAAAGAAAGAAAGAGAAAGGAAGGAAGGAAGGAAGGAAGGAAGGAAGGAAGGAAGGAAGGAAGGAAGGAAGGAAGGAAGGAAGGAAGGAAGGAAGGAAGGAAGGAAGGAAAGAAAGGGAAAAGAGAAAGCTGGCAAAGGCTACTGAGAAACAATTCTGTATATACTCACTTTTGGAAATGCAAAGAGAAAGGCCCAGAATAACAGTCTGCATTGGGGGCTCCCCTACCTGAGAATGTCCTCACTTTCGAAAAAAAAAAAGACCAAAAACAATCCCCCCACCCATGCTTTATAGGTAAATTCAGTGAGATAGGAATTAATTAGATCTCTTTCATATTAGCAAGAAGCAGCACAACAATTCACAAACCAACCATATGTTATAATGAAAATACTACAGGGCCTGCTTTAAGACAGCTCTTCTAGAAAGACTTACCCATAATGAGAGTACAAAAGTCCACTCTCCAGAGTTTGAAGACCAAGGTAAGGGGTGAATTAAGGGGATGTGGGTAAGTAGACAGACCCATGCCCTAGAGCAAGCATGATGTTTTTCTTCAATGAAGCCATTAATTTATCACATGCCTCCAATCCTCTTGTTTTAAAACAGATGGCCTTTGTTCCAAAGAAAAATTTCCATCCATTTGAAATTCTAGTTTTATACTGACCATCCACTTAAAAATATGTATTCTGGGGCTGGAGGTGCTCAGCAACAGAGCACCTATAGCAAGCATAAGGCCCTGAGTCCAAACTCTAGTACTGCATCCCAGAGTCATGCATGCATGTATGCATTCATTCATTCGCATAACTGAGAGCTGAATCCAGGAACTCATGCTTACTCTTCCGCTTGAGGTAGTCTCTCAGCTTATGCTCACATTTTAAACGGAACACTCAATGTCTCATGTCCCTTTATGTGTTTTCTTGTTTGTTTGAATGTCACTCCTGAGGCTTGAACTCAGGACCGGGGTACCTGAGGTCTTTCGTTCAAGGACAGAGCTCTTCCACTTGAGCCATAGCTCTAGTCTCAGCTTCTTTATTTTTTATTTTTTGTCGGTCGTGGGCTTGAACTCTGGGCCCGGGCGCTGTCCTTCAGCTCTTCAGCTCAAGGCTAGCACTCTTCCACTTGAGCCACAGAGTCACTTCCGGTTTTCTGGTGGTTAATTGGAGATAGAGTCTCACGGCCTTTCCTGCCCAGGCTGGCTTTGAACCGCAACCCTGAGATCTGTCTCAGCCTCCTGACTAGCTAGGATTATAGGCATGAGCCACAGGCGTGCAGTTATTTCCAGCTTTTTGGTGCTTAAATGAAGATAAGAGTCTTAAGGATTTTCTTGCCTGGACTGTCTTTGAACTGAGATCCTCAGATCTCAGCCTCCTGAGTAGCTAGGATTACAGGTGCAACAGGTGACTGGTATCCTTCATGTTTTCAATGTGCATATTTGTATTTCCCATTGCAGCCAATTGTCTACCAGCCCTAACCTTCTACTTCTGTGCTAATTATCTACAGACTTTCATTCCTCATAGGAAAATTTTAAGTATTTTAACCTACTCAAAAGAATCCCATTTTCCTGGCCAGTGACTAGATTCAGGCAAAACAGCATTAGTAATCCAATGCTGTTCAAACTGATGGAAAGGCTATTTGGTAAAGGATGGAGAGGGCACAGAGTCTTAAAGCACCTTAAAGATAGTAACAACCTCAGTCCCTGGAAGATTCACTGAGGCACTAAAAGAACTTCAATTAGACTGTCAATTTTATACTATTCCTTCTTTTACTTCAATTAAAAATATTTGAATGGTCTCTTTCATCAAACAAGAAGTTTTCATTTAGACCTAATGAATTCTTAATTGGGGATGTACCTTGAAAGGTTCAGCAAACATATGAAAGGCATGCCACCTTAGTTCTTAATTTCATTTATATAAAGGTTTTTTTTTGTAGGACTAAAAAAGCAAACTAAGTAACTTAAAGGAAACTACTGGAAGGGTTAGATATATTATCATTTCTCTTCCACATGGGGCACAAACTATTTAAATGACCTTATACCAGCCAAAAGGATATGAATGGAAAAACTTAAGAAAAGTGAACTAGCCAGTGGTATGAAGCTATGTATAACGCAATTGTTTTCAAGTTGTATAAAAAAATACTTACTGGACTTTCCTGACAGAGACATCCAAGAAGTAAGGCCGTGTAGGAGGCCACAATGCAATCTTCCATGTGTTTCCCAGCATGCTGAAGGGCTAACATGTTAAAAATAAAGAGTACATCAAGTTATACAAACCCACAACATTAACTACTCTGTTAACAATTTTCTTAAAAAGTGGCTCACACTTGTAATCTCAGCCACTCAGGAGGCTGAGATCTGAGGATCACAGTTAAAAGCCAGCCCAGACAGGGGAAAAAAAAATCATTAAAGACTAACAAATGATGCTGGACAATTAGATATATGCAGTTCTCAAATATAATGGAGAGGTCCCTTGGCATAAGTAATGCACATTAAAATGAACAACAGGAGAGTAAAACAGGCTCTTTTGGGCACTATCAGTGGGAGGGGGAAAGTGACTGGAAAGGGTGAATAAAGATATAATTTAAGTAGTTCAGTAGCATATATAAAAACAGAACAGTGAACTGTTGGAAATGTCTTGGGGGAAAAAGACAAGGAAGAGGGACAAAAGTGGTGAGTTTGATTGCGATACATTGTATGTATGTATAAAAATCACAATGGACATCTCTTGTACAGCTAATGTATGATAACCAAAAATTACAAAAAGAGAAATTTCATTTCTTGTAACACCAGAATAACAACATATTTAATCTGTAGAGAGTGGAACTAAGAGATTGGAAGAGGCCCACAATCAGGCAATGTCAGGGAATGTTTCTTAACTAGGTGGACATTATTATTCACATGTCATAAACTTAAGAGACATGGAATTACAAGCAGCTACTTTATAGAATTTGCATGAAAAGCAAAATCAAATGTAAATCTTGAGAACAGCAGATACTTAATGAATGTTTGGCTACTTACTATATTACCTTAACAATTTTGTATGTGTATATGCTGGTCTTGGGGCTTCAGAGCCTGGGATCTGTCCCTGAGATTTCTGGCTTGAGACTAGTGCTCTACCATTTAAACTGTAGGTCTACTCCCAGCTTTTTTTGGTGTTTAATTGGGAGTTAGTCTCATAAACTTGCCTTCCTAGGTTAGATTCAAACAGGAATTCTCATACTCAACCTCCTGAATAGCTGAGATTACTGGCATGAGCCACTGGTCCATGGTTTCAACTATTTTTTTTACTACATTCCACCTTAGGATCCTGTGAGGACTACCAATATAATTTATGACAAGTAATCTCAGCTTACAGTAAAGTGGTAAAAGAATATCAAAAAGTAAAAAACAAAAAAAAAACCCCAAACACAAAATACTAGGGTTGTGACTAGGTGGTAAAGTCCCTGCCTAGCCAGCATGAGGCACTACGTTCAAGCTTCCCACCCCTAACAAAACCAAACGAACCTCAAAAAATTGAAAGAAAAAGCTGGGCGCTGGTGGCTCACGCCTGTAATCCTAGCTACTCAGGAGGCTGAGATCTGAGGATCGTGGTTCAAAGCCAGCCCGGGCAGGAGAGACCGTGAGACTCCTATCTCCAATAAAACCACCAGAAAACCGGAAGTGGTGCTGTAGCTCAAGTGGTAGAGCGCTCGCCTTGAGCTGAAGAGCTGAGGGACAGCGCCCAGGCCCAGAGTTCAAGCCCCACGACCGACAAAAAAAAAAAAAAAAAAAAAAAAAAAAATTGAAAGAAAAACAAAAACACAAATTTCCCACCCTTTCTTGAGACAATATCTCACTATATATGCCTAGCAGTATCATCCTACCTCAGTCTCCCAAGTACTGAGATTATGGTATATGCCACCACAGGTGGCTCACTTTGCAGATGAAAAAATCTCAGGATGAAACAGTGACTTGTAATGTATTGTCCCCATTGTTAGGAAGAACTAAATAGTGTATTATCAAAGCTTATCTGGATTGAATTAAGGAGACCTTCAATGATTATGGTAACACGTGAATTAAGATTTCTTTTTTGCGGGGCTGGGAAGGTGGCTCAGTGGTAGAGTGCTTTCCTTGCATGCATGAGGCCCTGGGTTCGATTCCTCAGCACCACATAAGCAGAAAAATCCAGAAGTGGCGCTATGGCTCAAGTGGTAGAGCACTAGCCTTGAGCGGAAGAGCTGAGGGAGAGTGCCCAGGCCCACAGTTTAGGCCCCATGACTGGCCAAAAAAAAAAAAAATTTTTTGCGGGGGTGGGGGGTGAGGGTGGGGAGGGGCAGTCCTAGTGCTTCAATTTAGGGCCTGAGCCCTGAGCCCCAAGGCCACTTCCAGCCTTTTCTGTTTATGTGGTCCTAAGGAATCTAACCCAGGGCTTCATGCATGCTAGGCAAGCACTATCACTAAGCCACATTCCCAGGCCCTAAGACACATTTTAAAGAAAATACTATTCCCAAGTAAATATAACATTTAAAACAAGACATACCTTTATTGAGGTCAAGTTCTTCATCATCATCCTCTTTCTTCTGTTTCTCTTCCGTCCCATCAGTCTTCTCCGTTGAAACCCACTGTATTTCTCCACTAGTCTCTTGCCACTCTCCACTCTTATCATGCTGAGTGGTGGGAGCATCTTTGATCAACTCATCTGTTTTACTCTCTGCCAACTGGGCTGCTTGCTCTCGTTCAAGGAATAACTGGCAAAAATTATTTTGGAGTGTCATCAGAAAGACAGCATCTACTAATGTGTAGATTAACCAATATTTTACATTAAATAAAGAAAACAGGGCTAGAATGATGCTCAGTGGCAAAGTGCTTGCCTAGCAAAGGCAACATCCTGCGTTCTATCCCCAGTATCAAAATGGCAAAGACAAAACAAAATAACACAAACGTAGTTAGGATGAGTTTAAGTAAAAACTTTGCTCTAAATCCTACTGAAAGCCAAAACCAAAGTGTAAATACTTCTGGGAGTCATCCATCAATTTACTAATGGTTCAGATTTTTTTTTTTTTTTTAATGAGAATGAAAGACTCAACAGTTGCCCTGAGTTTAGACATTAACTAAAAGTTCAAGTAACAAGCCACAAAACTTAAACTTTAAAACAGCATTTAAACACTGGTATAATGGAGAAGGGCAATTAGTAAAACTACATAGTATTGGATGATATGAAATATGGCTCCTTTTTTTTTTTTTTTGGGTCCGGTCATGGGGCCTGAACTCTGGGCCTGGGCGCTGTCCCTCAGCTCTTCAGCTCAAGGCTAGGGCTCTACCACTTGAGCCACAGCACCACTTCCGGCTTTTTTCTTTTTGCTTATGTGGTGTTGAGGAATCGAACCCAGGGCCTCAGGCATGCAAGGCAAGCGCTCTACCACTGAGCCACCTTCCCAGCCCAAGGCACTAGATCTTAACATTAGCAATTCATACAATTTTTATTAGCATCAACTAATTGTAGAAAGGTTTCATTTCCACATGTTCATCCATAAACACAATGCACCTTGATCCGTGCGTGTGTATGGGGGATGGGAGGGAGGGAACTATTGGTCCCGATAGTCAAAAGTAAACAAATTAAATGCCTTGCTTTCATTTATTTTATTTTCTTTAGGCTGCTACAAGTATTGCACACAAAAAGTATCTTAATAAGCCTGGTGCTGGTGGCTAATGCTTGTATCCCTAGATTCATAGCTACTCAGGAGACTGAAATCTGAGGATCAAAGTTCAAGGCCAGCCTGGGAAGACAAATACAAGATTCTTCTCTCATTAACTAGCAGAAAATTGAAAGGTGTAGTTTACATGGTAGAGCACCAGCCATGAGCAAAAAAGCTAAGCAAAAGGTTAAGACCCTGAGATTAAGGTCTTGCGCGTGTACACACAAGCGCACGCATGCACACAGAATTGCAAGTCCTTTTTTGACACTTGAGTGGAAAGCAGTATCCAAAAGGTAGTATAATCTATAAACAAAAATTTATAGACTGGCTTAAAAAAAAAAAAGCCAGGCCTGATACAGGATGATAACCTGAAGGAAGAAAGCTTCCTTTAATGTAGAGTGCAAAAGCAGAATATTAAGCTCAAGCAGTAGCATCCCAGGGATGATTTATATGTGGTCATCCTGAACTTCATGTAAAGGAGAAGGATAAGAGAGCATGACAGAAAATAAGACTTTACAAACTCTATCTCATCCCACTATCCCCGTGCTCTGCTACTATGCCCCTTCCCAATTCTAATTTTCTGTCATCCATACAACCTAATGAAGCCTGGGCACAAATGAGACCCATAAGTAAATGCTAGAAAATTTGACATGGATGGGATGGAGTTGGGATTGTATTCCCAATTTGTGATCAATAATCAATTTTTGATTCATAAAGCCTTGTCTCTGCTTTTAGTAACAATGCTTAAGTGATTATATATTGGGGAAAGACAGTAGGAAAAGGAGTGTAGTCTGAACCTCTGTATCCCTTATTGCTCTGTAGAAAAATTGTGCTATTAAAAAAAAACAAAACTGTTTAAAACTCTGGTTTAAAATAAAACAAAGTGTCACAGTAGCTAATTATGAAAAACAGGTGCAAATGTAACAATGAACTCGCCTCAAGTATAACAAATGTAGGCTTAAAACAAACAAACAAAAAAACACTTAAATTAATACCAGTAATACTGATACAGCTTGTGAATCCATGGTTATCCAATAAAATCTGGCATCGTGGAAAGACAAACAAACAACCCCCCCCAAAACAAAAAACGTGTAACTCAGAAAAGAAATTAGACAGATCAACAACTGCAGATGTCAACTTGTTCTTAGACTGATGATTACCTGCACTAAAGCCTGAACAGCATGAACTTGTCCAGCTATCCTTAAACTATCATGTCCTTCTCCACTACAGAAGGAAGAATCAAAAGAACAGGAGGTTTCCATGTTGACGAGACAGTGTCGATTCCGAGCGCTGTATTCCACCAGATTTATCAGAAGGCCCAAGCCCTAAGTGTTTAAGAAAACACATGTTATCACAGATGAGAACTTATAAGCAAATGAATACCACACTGTGTAATTTTTATTGGCACACAAAAACCTCAGTGTTTTTCCATCTAATAAAATGGTTAGACAACTAGTATGTAAGATACTGTTCCGAAAGAATCATTTTCAATCACCACTTTCCATTTACAGTTTTCATTTTTTACAAAGTCGTTTGTAAGAAATAAAAAATGTTTATCAAACTGTAACCCTTTTGTACATCATTTCTATAATAAAAAAATGGAAAAACGACATGTTCAATGAGGAATACTTCAAAATAACAACAACATGTTAAACTGATTGTTTTCTTTAAAAAATATAATTTTATTGTTATTGCTAAGGTATCATACTGAGGGGTTACTATTTCATAAGTCAGGTAATGAATGTCACCCCTTCCTTCTCTTGCCCCTAGTTTCCCCCTATCCCTGCTCACACGTTGCGTAGTTCATTTTCTACGTAGTGTCGACTGTGTAGGTACCAAGCCTCACTTTGTCCATCCTTCCTCCCTCCACTTTTGTACCCCCTATGTCCCCTCAAAGACAGAAAAAAGAAAACACACAACAAAAAGCAGAAACAAACACTACCACTAATATAAACCTCATATTTCCATTCTCTGGAATTTGTTTTGACAAATAGCATTTTAAATGTTCAGAGGTGTTACACCTTTGAGTTCCTGCCTGAAGAGTATTCTCTTTTAGTCTCACTGTGTGTGAATTCTTAAGTCCTGTATATTTCATCATGCCCTGATGATTTTAGATCTAGCTTCCACATAGGAGAAAACATGTACAATTTGTCTCTGAGCTTGGATTACCTCACTTAACATGATCTGCTCTAGGTTAAACTGATTCTTAAAGGCAAGCTTAGATCAAAGTTTTCCTCTACATAGATAAAATACTGGTCTCTAAAATAGTCACTTCAACTCACCAACACTCGGATGTCAAACCTCTGCTCCTGAGGTAAATACTTTGGAACCTGAAGCACACAATTCATTGCTGTACCTATGAGGCCATCCTGTTCTCCTGTTTTGGTGCTGCCCCATTCTGAAATAGAATACAAGCAGGAAAAGCATGACTGATTCTTCCTGTGGGCATTACAAACTAGACTTATTAAAGTGAATTTTCTTATTTCTGGTCCTGGGATTTGAACTCTGGGCTCTGTCCCTGAGCATCTCTGTGCTCAAGGCTAGTGCTCTACCACTTGAGCCACAGTGCCATTTCTAGTTTTTTTCTGTTTATGTGGCACTAAGGAATTGAATCCAGGGCTTCATGCATTCTAGGCAAGCACTCTACAACATTCCTATTAATGTAGAAATGGATAACTATTCCTTTGGTCAAATACACTTGTTATTTCCAAACCATTCTACTAAGGGCTGGTCATAAAAGTAAAAACTCCTAAAAGTATCTCTATATACAAATGAGTCAATTCTATAATGGAGAACTGCAAAATAAACTATATCAAATAAAGAAGGGGACTACCTTGTTTCTATGGGTAATATACAAATTTCCAATGGGAAAACATTACTTACCATTGTCATTAGTTAAATTGAGCAATACCCCAATGATGGCTCTCATGCAGTCCTCCACTGCTTTGCCTACATGGTTAGTTACATTCTGGTGAGGGAGAGGCTTACTGTCAGCCATGCAAATGCTGTTCTCAGCGCGGTTATATTGCTGAATCAATTCTTCACAATGCTGTAATGCTCTTAAAAGAAAAGAAAATGCATTATTAAGGAGAAAACAAAAAGCACAGGTTAATACAACACATTCTTATCTATTGGAGCCTAAAAACCATCAGATCATCTGGGAGTTAAAACATTTTAGCAATCTAATCATGTACCAAGTGTGCCTGGTATCTCATGAGGTGCTGAATTTCATTTTGTTTTTAGAAAATTTAAAAAACTTTTAAATTCACTTCCTCTAAGGAAGTTAATTGAATATTTAGACAAAATCCAGGCACTGAAGATTCACAACTATAATCCGAGCTGCTCAGGAAGCTGAGATCTGAGGATCACAGTTCAGTCAGCCCAGGCAGGAAAGACCGAAAGATTCTTATCTCTAATCAACTAAAAAAAAAAAAAAAAACAAAAGCTGAAAGTGGAACTGTGGCCCAAGTGGTATAGCCTAGCCTTGAGCATAAAAAAAATTCAATCCCGGGCTGGGAAAGTAGCTCAGTGGTAGAGCACTTGCCTTGCATGCATGAGGCCCTGGGTTCGGTTCCTCAGCACCACATAAGCAAAAAGAAAAAAGCTGGAAGTGGCGCTGTGGCTCAACTGGTAGAGCGCTAGCCTTGAGCTGAAGAGCTGAGGGACAGCGCCCAGGCCTAGAGTTCAGGCTCCACGACCAGACCCCAAAAAAAATTCAATCCCCAAGACAGGCACACACAATAGAAAGGTTAGTTAACACCAGGTTGACAACCTGAATGCATACAAAGAAGGATACTAAATGTGATAAAAGAAAAAATTACAAAATCAGGACAAAAGAAGAGATGGAAGTGTTGTGATATTTGGATTTGCTTCAATACTTGAGGTTAGCTAAAAGGTCGAGAAAAGACTGAATTTGCTTCAAAATAACATAGGAAGTAAGGAAGGATGATGTTTTAGACAGTAACAAGACTTGCCCTGATTAGCAATTACTCAAGCCAAATAACATGTAGATAAGGGTTTATAGTGCTATTTTGAAATAAGAGGCTAAAATATAAACTGAGAGTCAAATTACGGGAGGTGGAGGGGGAGTCTCCCTTTGATAAGGACACTGGATATATTTCCAAAGATAATAAGGGATCATAGAAACTCAGTGTTTAAAGATTATTTTTTTCAAACAGAGATCTACAGAAATTCCCACAGTATTGTGCTGGCTAGGCTAAGGGCCAGGGAACTAAGGCAGAGTTATCAAAAATTAGGACAGCTATTAAGCTGCTGAGTAAGAAGACAGAACCAGAACGGGAGACATACACACACTAAGGTGACAGCATTTCCCTAATTGTGATGGAGGCTGGCTAGGGAGAATGGGGAATACAGAGAACTACACATAGATCTGGGAAATGAGATATAAAGGCCAGAAGAAAAGGGTTATACAAATCCACTTAGAACAAAAAGACTAATGATTAGTGGTCATTATATGCCAAACACTGTTCTTTCTACTAAACCTTACATATTTTAACTAATTCACTTGTATATATTTTCCTTTTTTTTTTTTTTGGGGTCCAGTCGTGGGGCCTGAACTCTGGGCCTGGGCGCTGTCCCTCAGCTCTTCAGCTCAAGGCTAGCGCTCTACCACTTGAGCCACAGCGCCACTTCCGGCTTTTTTTCTTTTTTGCTTATGTGGTGCTGAGGAATCGAACCCAGGGCCTCATGCATGCAAGGCAAGCGCTCTACCAATGAACCACCTTCCCAGCTCCTTGTATATATTTTTCTAAGACTTTTTTTTTTTTTTGGGTTGGTTGTGGGGCTTGAACTCTGAGCTTGGGCACTGTCCCTCAGCTCTTCAGCTCAAGGAGAGTACTCTACCGTTTGAGCCACAGCACCACTTCCAGTTTCCTAAGGGAAACAGACTTTCCTGCCCAGGCTGGCTTTGAACTGTGATCCTCAGATCTCAGCCTCCTGAGTAACTAGGATTACAGGCATGAGCCACCGGCGTCTGGCTCTAAGATTCTTTTAAATCATTAAAAATTACATTTATACACATATTACTTTGTATATAAAATATATTTTATATATATTGAAAGCTATATCAACTCATTTTATTATAATAGTCACTCTAGGGGAGAGATAATTACTATCTTCATTGTTATGAAACTGGAATTCATCTCAAGACATTCTGGATCCAGAACCTACTCTTTTGTCTTTTTTTTTTTTGGGGGGGGGGGGGTGTCCGGTCGTGGGACCTGAACTCTGGGCCTGGGTGCTGTCTCTCAGCTCTTCAGCTCAAGGATAGCACTCTACCACTTGAGCCACAGCGCCACTTCCGGCTTTTTTCTTTCTGCTTATGTGATGCTGAGGAATCGAACCCAGGGCCTCATGCATGCAAGGCAAGCGCTCTACCACTGAGCCACCTTCCCAGCCCCTCTTTTGTCTTTATAAGGTACTCTGACTTATAAAACTCAACAGATACAGCATTTTACTGAGGAAAGTAATATAACTTTATTTCCTTTAAAATCAACCCGAGTGTTTTAAGTAGATAATGGGAAGTTTTTACAGAAACTTACTTAGCTGATGAAATAATGAGTTGTGAATCTTTATATGCTATCAAGTAGCTTTGATTCTCTGGATTATGCACTGTTACCTAAAAAGGGAAGAATATGAAATGATTTTGGCAATCCATAACTTTTATATGCTCAATAACAACCTATATCTGGTGCCTTAAAGGATACAAAGATGAGGCACTAATGGCCCTGTTATCTAAGGAAATAACTACAACTCAAATTTTCTAAAATGGAGATACCAGTTTCTTATAAAATTAAAACATCACTATCATAATTACTCATTCATAACTAATGTTACTCTTTACTATCACCAAACTAAATTGACAAGTACTTTGTCAGAAGTCTCCAACTTAAATATTTGAACTTAAAATACATTTATAATGCCAGGTGCCAGCACAAAAATAAAAAGAGGAAAAAAGTAATGTTTTATCTAATGTACAGAAAGTACTCTAGAAGGAAACAATTCCATCAATGTTTGGCTAATGAGATCTAATCGATAATTATACATCTTGAAATTCACTTGCAGTTTTGGGTTTTCTTGGGTGGCAATCCAGGGCCTTGAACTCAGGGCCTGGGTACTGTCTCCAAGCGTTTTTGTTCAAGGCTAGCACTCTACCATGAGAGCCACAGCTCCATTTCTGGCTTTTTTTTGAGGGGGGAGGGAGGCATAGTGATTTGTATCATAGACTTTCAAACCAGGTCTGACTTCAAACAATCAGTCCTCATATCTCAACCTCCTCAGTAGCTAAGATTACAGGCAGGAGCCAACAGTGCCTGGCCACTGCAGTAAAATTTTAATCTACACTCTCCTAGGTAGTCAATTGTAAAAGCAAATAATAATAATAATAAATAAAAAAAAATACACTTACCGTGAGGTTCGATACCAATATTCTCCAAAGCCAAATATTGTGCCTGCAGTCTGACTCAAAGCCAATAAAAGCTTATACATCAGGCTGGCCACCAGTGTCTCATTACTATAATCTTAGAGAATGAGATCTGACAACTGAGGTTTAAAGCCAGCCTGAGTAGAATAGTCTGCAAGACTATCCCTATATAACCAGCAAAAAAAAATTAAAGCTGGAGGTATGGCTCAAGTAGCAGAGTACAAGTTAAAAATGAAACAAAAACAAACAACAACAAAATAGCTGTATTAATATGCACATAAAGTTTCATTTGGAGCAATATTACCTCCTCTTTTTTGTATTCTTTGGAGACTATGTAGCTCACTATGTAACCCTGACTCCCTCTGAACTTGACTCCCTAGCTTCATCCTCCCAAGTGTTAGCATTCCAAGCAAACACCACAATGCCCAGCAATACATACATCCTTAAGATAATAAACTGCTCCCAGGTGCTGGTGGCTCACACCTATAATCCTAGCTATGCAGAAGGCTGAGATCTGAGGATTGCCAACCCAGGCAGGAAAGTCCATGAGACCCTTATCTCCAATTAATCAACAGAAAACTGGAAGAAAACTCGAAGTGGTGCTGTTGCTCAAAGTAGTAGAGCACTAACCTTGAGCAGAAAAGCTCAGGAACAGCACTCAAGCCCTGAGTTCAAGCCCCATGACCAACAAAAATAAATATAAAACGGGAGATAATTATCATGATAACAAAAAACTGCTCATTAAGTTGCTCATTAACAGTTCATTTCTCAATGAATATATGCACTTTCAATTTGGATCAACAAAGAAACTAGAGATATACAAAATATCACCATTAAAAGCGAGTAATCACTACAAAATTATAGTTCATACTTACACTTTCTAAAACTCGTAAACATCTCTCTGCTCCCCATAATGAAGCTACTAGTTTCTCTTCATCTTCATCTCTACTTAAATGATCCACACATTCTTTTACTGGGTGAAAAGAAATGGATGTAAGTTAGTATTTCTTATCCTATCAATACAAACCTGAGGCTACCATCAAAAGTTACCTATGCAACATGCTGTGGGTAGGCTAGAACGTCTCTAAATATGATCTATTCTATGAGTCATAGCATGAGATTTTGAAATCTAACACCCTATATTTCCATAACCTCACAATATCAAGGTATTAATGATCCCGACTTTAAAAGTTAAGAAGTTTGCAGGATGCTACTAAAGACATTTGCAAATAGATAAAATTAATCGTTTTTCTTTTGGTCGGTCATGGGGCTTGAACTCTGGGCCTGAGTACTGTCCCTCAGAGCTCCCCTCAGCAATTCAGCTCAAGGCGATCAGCTCAAGGCAAGCACTCTACCACTTGAGCACAGTGCCACTTCTGGTTTTCTGGTGGTTTATTGGAGATAAAGAGTTTCACGGCTTTTGCTGCCCAGGCTGGCTTTGAACCGCAATCCTCAGATCTCAGCCTCCTAAGTAGTTAGAATTACATGCGTGAGCCACTGTTGCCCAGCTCGATAAAATTAATTTTGAAGTATACAAATGTTTCCTTCAGGATTTAAAATATAAAAAAAAAAAAATCATATACATACCTTTATCTACAATATGATCCAGACCACCCAAAAGCCTGAGTTCTTCTTTAAACCAGTCTCCTGCTCGTTTAGAAGTAAGGGACAGCAATGTCTCCATAGCTAAATGGCCAGTCTAAAAATCAGAAACACCATAGTAAACACTAACATTTAGCAAATAATTCTGAGGCAAAAATTTTAAAATTGTTTCTAACAAAATTTTTTTAAAAAAATGAGCACCTGCTACTAGCCCACTGTTTTCTTTCTTTTTTTAAAATGCAACAGTAATTCACTTTTACTAGCAAAGGTGAATTAACATCTAATTTTATCAGAGTAGTCTACAAAGAAATGTTTTTAACCACATGCTTATTTACATAGAAAAAAAAACTTGTTAAAAGTAGTCTATTTTTGTCATTCCAACATGCACTGGTACTGCTGGTGTAGAGGCTCATGTGTGTGGATTGTTGAATCAAAGGATATATATATATATTTTAAGTGTAAATCAAAATACCAGACTAACTTACCAGAAAAGATGTTAACAAGTAACACTCTTAGGAAAAAAAAGAACGGGAATAGCAGTTGCCCTTAATGTTCAAAAGCAAAGGTTATCACTTTAGGTACAAGGGCTAGGCTTGAGTTGAAAAGCTCAGGGAGGAAGTGGGGCTGTGGCTCAAGTGGTAGAGCGCTCGCCTTGAGCTGAAGAGCACAGGAACAGCGCCCAGGCCCACAGTTCAAGCCCCACGACTGACAAAAAAAAAAAAAAGAAAAGCTCAGGGAAAGTGTCCAGGCACTGAGGACCAACAACAACAAAAAAAATCAGAAATTAAAAGATCACTTTGAACAGCCTGAGATACTTAACTGCTTAAAGTATGTATGTCTGTATTTTTCTACCATAGTAAACTTGAACAATTTCTTACTAATCTTACTTCTACATTTTTGGGGAGAATAGGGGGAGATCAGTGATGGGGCTTGAACTCTGTACCTGGGCATTGTGTCCCTGAGCTTTTTTTTTTTTTCCCGCTCAAGCCTAGTGATCTACCACTTTGAGCTACAGCTTCACTTCTGGTTTTCTAGTGGTTAACTGGAGATGAGCCTTTCCTGCTCAGAGTGGCTTTGAAACTGTAATCCTCAGATCTCAGCCTCCTGAGCAGCTAGGGTCACAGGCAAGTGTGAGCCACCAGTGGCTTATTTCTTCTACTTTGAATTCCCTCTTCCATCACAACCTTATTTTCCTGAATGGCTCCATGTATTGAAGTTCTGTGCAATTTTCTCATTTATACTAAACACAAATACTCTATCCACTTAAGTGTTACAGAAACATCTGAACACTGCTTTTCAGGGTTAGCAGCCTGGGAGCTCCCTGTGGTCACCACATACAAAATGCTTCAGGCCTACTGCTGGAGAGAACACAGGTAAGAACCACATTTAGCCCTTTATTTGACTTTTAACTATTGCTTGCCTTTTTTTAAAGCATAAAGCCACTTCCCAATAAAGAGCAATCTGGTTCTTGATACAAGAAACTTTAGCATAACAGAAGAAATGTTTTAATTAGCAAAGGCTGAAAAGAAGTGGTTATCTTCCCAGAGCTTCTGTCTTTCAAGATGTAAATTTACATCCTGGCATATATTATAATTAGAACTGAATATAAATTAGGTATTTAAAAACACAAACAACAGATCTTACTCGTGAATATATTAGTATTACAAATTTAGAAGACAGCCTAGAAGATTAAAAAAAAAAAGTTTTGTCCAAGGTACTAGAAAACATATTCAAGTGTGCTCGTTTCTCATTCTAGGTCCCACAAAGAGAAGGCTTCCCATTTGATTTCTTTTGCTGTTATTGTTATTGGAACCTGAACTCGCACAGGTTTCTTGCTTATGACTGGCATTCCACCAATTGAGCCATACCTCTACTCCTATATTTCACTAGTTAATTGGAAATGGAGTCTCCCAGACTTTTCTGCCTAGACTGAACCTCAATCTTCAGATCTCAGCTACCCAACTAAATAGATATACGGATACCTGGCTCTAAGAGAAGTTTACTGAAAAAGCTGTTTCAGATAGATCATGAGGCAAAGCAGTGAAGTGGAAGCACTGCTTGTCAAGGAGAAAAAGATTAAGTAAATTAAAGATTAATTTACTAGTACAGTAAAAGAAGAGCTTTACTGTTTGTTTCTAATGGCATAAAAGGGCTTCTACACTGTAAGTGAATATCTTAAAATTTCAATATTCTCCACAGCCATATCACTAATCACATTTAGATTATATCTGAAAATGTAATTTTACTATTTAAATTTATCTTTCTGTTATACATCAGCAATACCAATGAACTTCAAGGGAGAAGTAAGGCTAATAATATAACAAACAAAACGAATATGGGGGGGAGATATTCTTTGAAAACAAAAAACAACTGACTGAATTCACTATACAAATCTAACAGTTTTAAACAAACCTGTAACTAATGTATGTAGGGGGGAAGAGGGGAAGTTAGCATTAGAAGGAGGAAGAGACATCCAAAATTAGCCACTATCCTGTAGGTTAAAACCATGCTGTAGGATTGTTTTTAAATTGGTAATCTAGTAAATTTAACAAACATGGGGCAAGTTCATCCAATAAATGTATCCTTTTATTTAATAGTAAATACCTCAAATGATCCTAAATGTTAAAACAATATAAAAACAAGGCAGAGGTATATTCAATTATGCAGAAAACAAAAATTATAGCTCAAACATACCTCTTATGGCGTTAAAAATTAGTAGTGAAAATATTAAGAATAAATAAAAATTGCTAGTAAGATTTTTGCAGTCAGTATTGGGATTTGAACTCACAGCCTTGTGCTTATGAGACAAGGACTCTACCACTTGAGCCATGTCTCTGGCCATTTTTGTTACTACTTCTTGAATAGGGTCTCTTTTTTGTCCAGATGAGTATTTACCACAATCTATTTGTTTTTGTACCAGGATGGCAGGTGTGTACCACCACACCCAGCTTTTTATTGGTTGAGATGGGAGTCTCACACACTTCTTCACTGAGACTGGCCTCAAACCATGATCCTCCTAATCTCAGGCACATGAATACCTAGGAAAACAGGTGTGTTCCACCACACCTAGCTTAAACTTAAGAGGGAAAATACAGATGGTTAATGGTGACATGGAGGGACTTCCATCTGAGTACAACAGCCATTTCCCCAGTATATTTTTGTTGTTTTGCTTTGTTTTTGCCAGACCTGGAGCTTAAACTCAGGGTTTGGGTTCTATCCCTGAGCTTTTTTTGCTCAAGCCTAGCACTCTGCCACCTGAGTCACAGCAGCACTTCTGGCTTTTTCTGTTTATGTGGTACTGAGGAATGGAACCCAGGGCTTCATTCATGCTAGGCAGGCACTCTACCACTAAAGCCACATTCCCAGCCCTCTCCAGTTCTGGTAAGTACAAAGCACCACCTACACTCTGCCCTTACCTTTTAAAGGCACCTTGTTTTCACTGCCACCATCTACTTTTTAGTCACCATTTATTACCAATTCTCCCTTAATAAAATAGCCCCCACTTGTATACGACTAGTACAGTCATTTGTGTGTATTTTGTTTCTCTCTCTTTTTTTTAGGTCTGAGACTGGGACTCAAACTTAGTACCTGACAGTTCTGCACAGTGGCTAGTGCTCTACCAACTGAACCACACCTCCAATCTTGTTTTCTACATTTTTTGGGGGGGGGGGGGGTCCAGTTGTGGGGCCTGAACTCTGGGCCTAGGCGCTGTCCCTCAGCTCTTCAGCTCAAGGCTAGCGCTCTACCACTTGAGCCACATTGCCACTTCCGGCTTTTTTCTCTTTGCTTATGTGGTGCTGAGCAATCAAACCCAGGGCCTCATGCACGCAAGGCAAGCGCTCTACCACTGAGCCACTTTCCTAGCCCCTTTACATTTTTATAGCAAATGATGCAGGTCTTCAAATAATAGGAAAAAAATAATAAATAATAAAATACTAAATAACAAATAATAGGGGAAAATGTTTTATATTTGAAAACCAGATTGATAGCAATCTTATTTTTTAAAAACCACAAGTCAGTTTATATTGGCCTGATTCAATTATCATTTATTCTACAAATGGCAGAGTCAGAATCAAGCAAAAGCACAGGACAGCCTACTTGAACATGAGGAGTTGTGTTGAGCTTAAGCATAGATATGGGGGGGGGGGGGGGGGGGGAGGCTGTGAAGGTGGCTCAGTGGTAGAGTGCTTGTCTTGCATGTATGAGGCCCTGGGTTCGATTCTTCGGCACCACAAAAGCAGAAAAAGCCGGAAGTGGCACTGTGGCTCAAGTGGTAGAGTGCTATCCTTGAACTGAAGAGCTGAGAGACAGCGCCCAGGTCCAGAGTTCAGGCCCATGACTCCCCTACCCCCCCTCCCCCAATAGATACTGGCCATGACTCTATTGTGAGGGGCATTGCCTGAGAGAACAACAAATGCCTAGGAATCTTCGTCTGGGCATTAATTTAATTAATCGGAATAAAGCCAGGGATAAGCAAATTACTATTCATTGCAAAAGGCCCTTTCAAATCCTCTAAAGTTGTAATTCTTGAAATCTACAAGTAAATAAGAATTCAAGTTGCTAACAGTCTAAATATACAAGAAGGAGAGAAGAAAGAAAGGAAGAAAGGGTACAGACTCAGGAAGGGAAGATAAATCAAGAGAAAAGGATTAGGCAGAAATTTACAGCTTAAGCTCAACACAACTCCTCATGTTCAAGTAGGCTGTCCTGTGCTTTTGCTTGATTCTGACTCTGCCATTTGTAGAATAAATGATAATTCAATCAGGCCAATATAAACTGACTTGTGGTTTTTAAAAAATAAGATTGCTATCAATCTGGTTTTCAAATATAAAACATTTTCCCTTATTATTTGTTATTTAGTATTTTATTATTTATTATTTTTTTCCTATTATTTGAAGACCTGCATCATTTGCTATAAAACTGTACCTGATCCCCGAAGAAGCCTGAAGACAGATGAACTAGTTAAGTGAAATGAATGAATAATTCACAACTAAACTAGAGAAAATTTCCAATTTGTAAAACAAGGACTGGAAAGATTAAATAAACTGTTTTCCCTAAGCCACAGAAGCACCATGACTAAACAGACTTTCTGAAATAAATTTTCACTTTATAATGGAAGTCAATGGTTTACCGTTATATTTTCTAGATCAAGATGCTTGTTGTGCACAGTTTCACAGAGTCTTCGAATTTTTTCTTTAATTTTGTTCATGTCTTTTTCATTTAGTAGCTTAGCTGATGAAGCATCCTGTTCCAGTTCCAAAAGTCGAATCATTAGATCTAGGCTAGCTCGATCAAGATCCATGTTCAAACGATCTCTACTCAATATGTACATCAGGGCAGCTGTACAGAGGGACAGATTCTTCAACAAAACAAAAGTATAGGCAATTACTGACAATATCAAAGAAATAAGACTGTATCAACATTTGTCTACAAGTCAAAAGGCCTAAAACTTACTTTGCTAATTTTGTTGGAGACCATGAATATGCTTGATTCAAGCCAGGAATGGAGTTGTAATACCAGCCCTTTGGATGGGCTATTTAAATAGTATCTATATTCTAACAAGGATACTATATCATTCAGCCTTAGATATCAAGAAGTGACTTGGGTTTGAGATAGTCTAGTTGGAGACATTCTGTATTTCAGAATGTACAGATATATAATTAACTAAAGATTTAAAATTTAAATCTACCAAAGTAGAGAAAATGCAGTCATTTAGTCATGTGATTGTTAACTATTTATAAAACAAATTTTTGGAAATTAGACCACCACATAAAGATCATGAAGAGTTAAAGTAACAGTTAACAAAAATAGTAATATGAGCACATCGGAGGGAAACTAGGAGGAGGACACAGAACTAGAGGGAAACGGGAAAACATACAACAGTGGGACCTATCAGCTGCACTGGACATTGATCAAAACAAAGTTAGCAAGTCAATGGCAGCAATGGGACAGAGGGAATGAGTGGGAAAGAGAGCACAGCTGACACTATGCAAAAGGAAAGGAATGTACGTATCACCCAATGTGGAAGAAATAACTGTACTGTCCAAGCCCATAGAACTCATAAAATTTATAGACCATGATGGACAATTTGCCCCATGAAGGTTAGAACGTATTTGTGACTTCTAAGCATCATTATCCCACATTACTGTGAAATTTGTGAAATTATGGAATCACTTAATCACATTAAAAAATTTGCAAAAATAGCAATACATTAATCTACTTTTAATTGTATAACAAAAAAAATCACTTACAGCTCTCATCAATTCTCCCTCATTATTCTGTACCTGCTATACAATCTGTTAACAGAAGTATGCTCACTTGGACTAAGTACAATATTTTTGGTTTTAAAAGAGCCTGTATTGGAGCCGGGAAGGTGGCTCAGTGGTAGAAGGTTTGCCTTGCATGCATGAGGCCCTGGGTTTGATTCCTCAGCACTACATAAGCAGAAAAAGCCAGAAGTGGCACTGTGGCTCTCAAGTGGTACAGCGCTATCCTTGAGGTGAAGAACTGAGGAACAGCGCCCAGGCCCAGAGTTCAGGCCCCACAAATGACAAAAAAAAAATTAATTCTGTATCACTCAAATACAGACTGACCTGTATGTGCAACCTAATCTCTTTGAATAAAAATATAATTAAGGCCATCTCAAAACATCACAATCAATAATAGTTAGCAATGGAGATTATGAACTTCGACTCTCAAATCTCAGCCTCCTGAGTTGCTAGGATTATAAGTGTAAGCTGCAGATGCCCAGCTAAAGATTATCATTTCTAACTTTTGACGAAATTAGAGCAAATTTTTATTACATTATTGAGAAAAATTTTCAAGAGCAATAAAAGTAAAACAATTTATTCCTTTTCTTAAGTAGCTACCTTCCAGATTCAACACTGGACCAAATGTTGGAAGGTTAGGAGTGGCATTATTTGACTTATGGAGTGGTAATCTCTTTGTATAACTCCTTAATAGCAATTTTTTTTTAAATTTTATAAGTTAGGGGTTGACCTGGGGGTGTACCTCAACTGGCAAGCAACCTGCCCAGTGGTTACTAGAAACTTAGTATTTTCTGAATAGAAAAAATCATAGTTACAGAATCAAATATTCAGCATAGTATGTTAGCTATGGTAAATGAGCAAGATTCTGGTCATATAAATTCAAAATTTAAAATATGAGAAATTAAGTAATTTTAAGAAACAAACACTTATGGCATTATTAATCTATATAGTCAGTAAATAAACTTAATGTGTAATTATTATGGCATTATTAATCTATATAATAAGTAAATACACTCAATGTATAATTAGGGATAAATTTACATGAATATTCAATGGAGTACTTTTGTTTTTGTTTTGAGTCCAAACTGTGTCTTAAACTTATGGCCTTCATGCTCTAGATCTTAACTTGCTTGCACACAGCTGGCTTTCTACCACTTGGGCCATAATTCCAATCCAGTTTTTCTTTTCTCATTAACTGGAAATAAACTAGACTTTGTTGTCCTGGCTGGCTTTGAACCTCAGTCTTTCCTTAGTTTCTTGGGTAGCTAGGATAACAGGTATGCTAATAATATCAGCATCTGGGCTCAATGAAGGTATTTTTGATAGTCAAATAGACAATTTTTTCCAATAATATTTTTCAGCCTCATAAACTGAGAAATACCTGATGGTGCTGTGAATCATCCAAGGTTTTAAAGACCATTGCAACCATTCCATGTGCTCTCAGGTGCATTCGAAAACTGGGCATGGCACATTTAGTAGCCAAGCTAATAACACTAGGAGACAAGAGATTATGTTAGGAGAACTAAAAATAGCTAAAACATTAACTAAAAATAACACTGGTGCCTATTGTGTGATTGAGTACATTGTATTTACAAAAACTAATATGATTTTTAATTGCATTCTTTGTATTACTACTATCACTAAAACCATAGAAGTCCTAGCTACCTTTCATAATACTTTGTTATATAAAAACTGTAAATAATTATATTTGATTGGACTGGATAATACATCCAAGTCAAGATTTTCACTCCTCTATCATACATAAAAGATGATCCACTTCATAAAATGCTTAATCTATCACTCACTTTTTGACATTTTTAGATGAGTGGCAAAAACAAAAAACAAAAACCTGGGTTGGGAAGGTGGCTCAATGGTAGAGTGCTTGCCTTTCATGCATGAGGCCCTGGGTTCATTTCCTTAGCACCACATAAGCAAAAAGAAAAAAGCTGAAAGTGGTGCTGTGGCTCAAGTGGTAGAGTGCTAGCCTTGAGCTGAAGAGCTGAAGGAGTTCAGACCCCACGACCGGACCCAAAAAAAAACCTTAGATTATGGTAGAAACTTTTTCTTCTTTTAAATATCTGGAAACTGACACCTATACTATATACTTAAAACAGAAAAAAGGGTAACAATTGCCCACTTCCCCTCTACTCTATAAAATCTAATCCTGATCACATTCTAATCTATTACTGGCTGACTACTGCAAAATCAAAAGTGTCTAGGTTTTTTAATAATGATTTTTTCAATTGAAAACATTTAATGACACACATACACATAATTATAAAATATAAGAAGGCCTTACCTAAGGCAACGTGTGTTTAGAGGCTGAGTGCTCTTTAAGCCACTTAGCAAATACTCAATGTCATCCGTGAACTCTTGATTTTCACCAAATTCCACCACATCATTGAAGTGCTTCACGTGCTGAACAACAGTATATAACTGCCAAGAAAAAATAAGTTCACTTCTTTTGTAACTAATGAACTAGCATATTTAAACCTACATCCATTCTCTCTCTCTATGTATAAAAACATGCCGTAGTTCAGTAGATGGTAACAAAAATACTTTTAAAACAATGATACTGGTAGGACAATTTAAGTTTGTGGTTCAAAACTGTGTCTTTCAGTGTAGCAATAGTTGTTCAAGACATTACAAAGCTAAATGTTACATATAAAAATCTATCCACCATTATCTTGCCCATGTAATTGTAACCCCTCTGTACAGTATTTTCACAATAAAAAAAAATTACTCTCAAAAGAAAAAAAAAATCTATCCACATGCAGTAAAACTATATGGCTGCTTACTTCTTTGTCTTCTTTTCTGCATTTCAGGGCAGTAACTATATCTTGGTAGGGCTGAGTAGGAAGTGTCACAGTTTTTATCACTTTGAGTGGTGGTGCAGGAGCCTTAAAAACTCCATCATCATTTTGATTTGGTTCCTTTGAAGACAGCCTCACCTATTAATAAAGGTATTAAATTAGTTGCTCTAAATGTACTTTTAAAAGTAATATCTCATCTACCTGGAAAACTACCTTTTAAAAAGTTTTCTTGAGAAAAAAAGGGGGGGGGGTTATTAAAAGGTCCTAATAAATACTTCCAATTTCATGCACTACAGAACAAGATTTGTATGTTTCATAGACAAAAGAACCACTCAGGAATTACATGTGTCTTTTAAAAAGCCTTATATTTCATATAAGTTGTTATTTAACTCCAGGACCATTAAAAGAATAAAGAACCACAATTGCATGCATAAAAATAGAATTGATAAGCAACTTGAGATAAGATAGAAAAACTACAATAAAGAAAGAAATCTTAAGAACTTAAGAAAGACAAGTAGTTTAGAATAGAAACAAGCCGCATTAACAAGAGCAGGTAATGTATCAGATTGGAATACAATTACATAGTTTCATTGTCAATTTAAGACATGAACCTATACATTCTGTTTTAGAAATAACTCTATTCCTGCTTACCTTATATGGATGAGTCTCTAGGTCTGATCCCCAGGATAAATATTTTTTATTTTGGAAAAACAACTTATACCCTCTTTTTATTGTTGTGATAAAATACTCATTCCTTTCACAGCTCAGATGACTATGGCTGTGCTGTTAACCTAACAGTTTTAACCTATAACACTACAAACTGAAGAAAACAACTTGGAAAAAAAAAAAGTTACAGGTTTTTGGTGTTGTTTTGTTTTCAGTACAAGGACCTGAACTCAGACCTTAGATTGGCTTATCACTTGAGCCAATACTCTAGTCCCCATTTTTGCTAGCTTATTGGATGGAATCTCAGAGTTTTCTGCCTGGAATAGCTTTGAACCTTGAACCTCCAAGGTCTCAGCCTCCTGAGCAGGTAGGATTACAGGTAGGTCACTGGCACCTGGGTGGTTTTAGCTTTTGGAGACAGGGTCTTACTAGATAGCCCAGGTTGGCCTGAAACTTAAGAATACTCCTACAAAAAGCCTTTAATTTTTAAGGCTTTCAATTATTACCTTGTAGACACAAGAAGTTCTATCCTTATCATAATACTCACTTTTCCAGTTTATTAAACTGAGCTTCAATGAGTAAATATAAAAAAAGCAAACTGTAAATAGAAAAGTCAGAGCCATGTACCAGTGGCTCACACATGTAATCTTAGCTACTTAGGAGGCTAAAGATCTAAGAATTGTGGTTCAAAGCCTGCCTGAGAAGGAAAGTCTGTGACTTTTTTTTTGGTCGGTTGTGGGGCCTGAACTCTGGGCCTAGGCACTGTCTCTCAGCTCTTCAGCTCAAGACTAGTGCTCTACCACTTGAGTCACAGCACAACTTCTGGCCTTTTCTGCTTATGTGGTGCTAAGGAATTGAACCCAGGGCCTTATGCATACAAGGCAAGCATTCTACCACCCAGCCACCTTTCTCAGCCCAAGACTATGACTCTTAACAGCTCTAAAGTACCAAAAAAGCCAGAAGTAGAGCTGTGGCTCAGGGACAGAACCCAGGCTCTGAATTCAAGCCCCAGGACAGGCATCAAAAACAAAAGTCACAAATGATAGGATAGTAACTGTTGCCAGGTGTCAGTCACTCATGCCTGTAATCCTAACTACTTAGTAGGTTAAGATCTCAGGATCATGGTTCAAAGCTAGCCTGGAAAGAAGTCCATGCTTACCTCCAATTAACCAACACACACACGCGCGCGCGCGCACACACGCACGTACACTTAGTCAAAAAGTGGAGCTGTGGCTCAAGTGGTAGAGTGCTAATCTTGAGCAAAAATGCTAAGGGACAGCACCCAGCCCCTAAGTTCAAACCCCATCCCCAAAAAGAAAAAAAAACTGCTTAACTAAATTAAAACTTTAATGAAAACATAGAAATATATTCTTTACTTACTGTGACACTCTGAGGTTTTACTACTGGTGGTCCAGGTATTTCTTCTGAGTCTGGATGATTCCAATGCCTGGCATTATATACAGCTTTTGTAGGTGACTAGAGAAATAAGAAAATGGTAAACCACTTTCACCTTACTTTGTATTCTTTATGAAAGTGTCTCACTTAATAAAATCAATAAAGAATAATTTAAATGCAACACATATCATAGACAGAAAGGAGAGCTATTCCCACATCCATGGCAGACATGATCACTAATACTTGGCCACAAAACTGGCAATTACTACTTTGCTAGATCTGTACTTAGTGATTAATTGAACGTATTCTCTGGCAAAACGTTATTCCTTGTTTTTTGGCGGAGGGGGGGGGAGGGGATTGTTCATGGGGCTTGCAGTCTGGGCTTGGGCATAGCACTATCCCTGCGCTCTTCAGCTCAAGGTGAGCGCTCTACCGCTTGAGCCATAGCACCAATTTTGGTTTTCTGGTGGTTAACTGGAGACAAGAGTCTCAAGGACTTTTCTGCCCAGGCTGGCTTTGAACTGTGATCCTCAGCTCAGCCTCCTCAGTAGCTAGGATTACAGGCATGAGCTACCGGTGCCTGGTGTTATTCCTCACTCTACTCCCTCATAATCCAGTTTTCCAACAATAGTAAGCAGGCAGTTATAAGAGGCAACACAGATCCATACTCATGTAAATAAAACCACTGGGGCCAGATGTGTGCATCATTCAAAAGTTTTCCACTTTCATAAAAGTAAATATGGTTTATATACCTTATAAAACATAGTAGAGTCTAAAGGAATACGATGTAATAACATTTATGAATTCTACAGCAAAATGTATAAATATAAATGCTCACACTAAAGTGGGATATGGATGCAAATTTCCTTGCATTAATTCCAGTTACCGTGCTGCCAATTTACTTCAACTTATAAAAAAAAAAAATCCTTAACACTGAATTTCAGAATTTAGAATAAACAACTATGAGCCTACAAAATCATATCCACAGGAATAAATATGTATAAAAGAAATAAAAACTCTTACTTTGAGAGGAAAGCTTACAACATAGAAAACTAATAGCATTTCATCTACCTCTGATAAAAGTGATGCTAAGATGGGAACTGGTGGCTCATGCCTGTAATCCTAGCTACTCAGGAGGCTGAGATCTGAGGATCACTGTTCAAACCAGCTCCAGCAGGTAAAGTCCATAAGACTCTTATCTCCAATTAACCACCAAAAAGTGGAAAGTGGAGCTGTGACTCCAAGAGTACTAGTCTCGAGCAAAAAAGACTAGGGACAGCATCCAGGTCCTGAGTTCAAGCCCCACAACTGACCAAAAGAAAAAAAAAAAAAGTGATCTTAAATTCTATCCTTTAAACTTTAATTAAATATCTGATATGATAAGAAATTTTTGTTTATAAGACTATAATCTTCCTATATTCAGTAGTGTATACACACACATATACACAGACATAAATATAGAAAACACGGGGCTGGGAAGGTGGCTCAGTGGTAGAGCGCTTGCCTTGCATGCTCGAGGCCCTGGGTTCGATTCCTCAGCACCACATAAGCAAAAAGAGAAAAGCCGGAAGTGGCGCTGTGGCTCAAGTGTTAGAGCACTAGCCTTGAGCTGAAGAGCTGAGGGACAGCGCCCAGGCCCAGAGTTCAGGCCCCACGACCGGACCCAAAAAAAAAAAAAGAAAGAAAAAGAAAAAAAAACAAATATAGAAAACACGTAGAAAAAATCTACTCCCAATTGGTCAAACATCTATATATACAAGTATGCATGAAGTGATAACTCACTAGAAGTAACAATTTTATACATTCATGCAATTGATGGCCCACACTTGGTCTCAGTGCTATCCAAAAAATGAATCTATGGACAAAGAGGAAGACACAAATGGAAAAGATTTATTGAAGTAAAAGACAAACAGAGGCAAAGGGAGAGGTTTTTCAGCGAGATTACATCTAGAGCAGAAAGAGGAGAGGAAAGGAGAAGAGAGAGAAATGGGGAGAGGAATAGGGGCTTACTATGGGGGAACAGAGATACTTCTACTTTACCATCTGAGTGTGGCTGAGAGGGAATTAGAAAAGGACAAAGTGAAGGAACATATAATTAATTCCTAGTTCCTCGTTATCCTAAATGATACAAGAACTGCACATTACTAAGTGTATATCACATAGCACTGATACGTCACATGCTAATTTCACTCCACGAAAGTAACTGTTTAAAACATAGGTTTAGGGCTGGGAAGGTAGCTCAGTGGTAGCGTGCTTTGCCTTACACTCATGAAGTCCTGGGTCTGATTCCTCAGCACCACATAAGCAGAAAAAGCTGGAAGTGGTACTGTGGCTCAAGTGGTAGAGCGCTAGCCTTAAGCTGAAGAACAGTGCCCAGGCCCAGAGTTTATGCCCTACAACCAACACAAACAAACAAGTTGTCATGTCCAAAATGAGCTTTACAACGTCGGTGCGGGGGAGTGGGGGGGGGGGGGGGGGGGGGGAGAAGGAGAAGGATTGGGGGGGGGGGGAGGCTGGGAAGGGAGGTGAAGGGTAAACAAAGGAGGAGGCTGCAATGCTTGGTAAGAAATGTACGCATTATCCTGCCCATGTAATTGTAACCCCTCTGTAGAGTATGTTCACAAATAAAAAAAAAAAAAAATCCATTTTTCATGGAAAGTCAAAATCATTCTCACCATCTAGATACCTAGCCATACCTAAACTGGGTCACTGATCACCTCAACAGGCTTTCTTTAATCTTGTTAATTTATTTTGGTTCTAAAAGCAAACACATAGCATATTGACCAGATTCTTTGCCTTCATTTTATTCTTTGTTAAAGAATTTGTGGAATCTGCCTGCTCTGCAAACTAGTAAGAATACTTGTTCTAAAAAAATAGTTGAAGGCTCTTAGGAATCCTCTCGACATTCTAAAGATTCGCACCCATGTTAACATATTTTATAAATATGAAATCTTAAATATTCTATATTCTTTGCTAGTCAGTTCTCCAAACAAGAACCATGCAATGGTAAGACTTATAGGGCAGGCTGGGAAGGTGGCTCAGTGGTAGAGCACCTGCCTTGCATGCATGAGGCCCTGGGTTCGATTCCTCAGCACCACATAAGCAAAAAGATAAAAGCAGGAAGTGGCGCTGTGCCTCAAGTGGTAGAGCGCTAGCCTTGAGCTGAAGAGCTGAGGGACAGCGCCCAGGCCCAGAGTTCAGGCCTCACGACCAGACCCGCCCACCCCCTCCCCAAAAAAGACTTATAGGGCATTTATCCATGAGATAATCCGGTTTCTATAAAAACAATGGATAAAGGTTGGTTTTTATAATCACAATACGAATACAGTTATTAACAGATTGACTAACCAAATTACAATTGTAAATGAGAAGTCTAAAAAAAAAAGTGTTCCTTCCTGAAAAGCTAAGAAATAGCAATATTACACATTTCTCCACTGAGCTGGCTCTGAAAAAGTGAAACAATATTGGCTAATTATTTTTATGCCATATGATTTTTTAACAGAACCAAATTTATTTATGAGTTTTAAAGAAGACTATGTACTGAGGACAAAAATAGTAAGCTGATTACAACTCCAGCCTTATCCACAAAGATTTCATGAAAAGAGAAATGTACTCTCAGCAGTAATCCAGCAATGAGTAGAACTTAATAAATTCTAAAGAAGAACTGTAGTACATAAGGATATTACCTAATACCTAGCAGCAAATAGAGAAAGGGGGGGGGGGGGTGTCTGGATTTGAATCTTATTCTCTAGAATAGTGAAGATTTTTTTTTATTTAATTTAATTTTATTTGTGAACATACTGTTCAGAGGAGTTACATGGGCAGGATAATGCGTACATTTCTTACCAAGCATTGCAGCCTCCTCCTTTGTTTACCCTTCACATCCCTTCCCAGCCTCCCCCCTCCCCCCCTAATCCCAATCCTTCTCCTTCCCCCCCCTTCCCCCCCCCCCTCCCCCCCCCCCCGCACCAACGTTGTAAACCTCGTTTTGGACATGACAACTTGTACTTCTTATTGTTGCAACAGGTCCACCTGTATCCTTAAACAACTGGTTTTTCCCCATCTCCTCCACAAGTTATACTGACATCAAATATAGTGAAAGCAGGGGTTATACTGTAGGGGAGGGACATACAAAGCAACAAAGAGATAATCTTATAAATGTGTTAGAAACACATGCATGAAAGAAAAAAAAATTAAAATACACATCTAAGGGTTCATTTTCCTGACATCACATTATCTGACCTTTTCCGCTTGACTCATACATATACTAGATATTACAAATAAGGGAAACCATGGGACCTTCGTTTCTTTGGGCCTGGCTTACTTCACTTAATATAATTTTTTCCAAGTTTTTCCATTTCCTAACAAATGGGGCAATGTCATTCTTTCTGATGGAGGCATAGAATTCCATTGTGTATATATACCACATTTTCTTGATCCATTCATCTACTGAGGGGCATCTGGGTTGGTTCCATATCTTAGCTATGGTAAATAATGCTGCAATAAACATAGTTGTGCTGGTAGCTTTAGTGTGGTCTTGTTTGTAAACATTAGGGTAAATGCCCAAAAGTGGGATTGCTGGGTCATAGGGGAGCTCTATGTGAAGTCTTTTGAGGAACCTCCATACTGCTTTCCAAAGTGGTTGAACAAGTTTACATTCCCACCAACAATGAAGTAAGGTTCCTTTCTGTCCACATCCCCTCCAGCATCTGTTGTTGTTAGAGTTCTTGATTTTTGCTGTTCTAACTGGAGTGAGGTGATATCTCAATGTTGTTTTGATTTGCATTTCTTTTATGGCTAGGGATGTTGAACATTTCTTCATGTGTCTATTGGCCATCCTTCTTTCTTCTTCAGAGAAGTTTCTCTTTAAGTCTTTCGCCCACTTATTTATTGGGCAGTTGTTTCTTTGAGGATTTGTTGTTGGGGGGTTTAATTTTTTGAGTTCCAAGTATATTTTAGATATGAGACCCTTGTCCGTTGTATGGCTAGTGAAGATCTTCTCCCAATCCGTGGGCTTTCTATTGATCTTGCTAGCTATGTCATTTGCCCTGCAGAAGCTCTGCAACTTTATACAATCCCAT